ATCGTGCACGATGCAGTGTCCATCCTCAGCGGTATGGTCGGGGTGCACATCGACTCCCCGTGGCAGGGGCATGCAGAGTCGATCCCAAGTGCATCGGCAAGCACCGCTAAGCCCGTAGATCGGTTGGTCGAACTGAATGCTGATGGATCCTTGAAGACCCCAGGGGCCATTCTGGAGGCCATGAACATGAAGGTGGGCTCATGCATTCGCCGTCGCAAAGACAAAATGGAGTGCGAGATTCTCGCAATCGACCATGCTGTGAAGCTGAAGAGCCTGGCCGACGNNACGAGCCACGATCGATGCTTTTGTGCGAGGTGAATGGCTCGTTTTCACTCGCAAGGCAGAAGTTCATGGAATCGAGGATCTCGTTCCATTCGGACCCCGGTCAGTCCACCCGGAGTTCGCAACAGCCAAAACGATTGCAATGATCCACATGGAAATCCATGCTCTGGTTGACACCCATGACATGCATGACACGATGGCGAAGTTGAAGTTGCACATTCGCCCCACCAAACTGCTGGCCAAGACGGCTGTGGCCAAGGGCAAGCTCATGCTGGTGCCCTTCAGCTCGAAAGTGCTTTCCCGAAGCAGCAGCGAGCCAATGCAGGGAGGTGTCGAGGTAACCTTGAAGAAAGGTTGCCAGGATCGTCGGTTCTACATCGCTGCATCCAACGTGATGCCGAAAGCAAGCGAGGAGGCCCCGGACGACCTCGTGGGGTTCTTGTCGCCATTTTTCTTGGTCCAGACTGTAGAGGACGAGACCAAAGCCAACATGACCATGGTGCTATCCGGAACCAAGCAATCGGATGTTCGGATCCCGATGCTGAAGAACTCGGTGGCTCTGACTGCCGGGCAAGAGTTGCTTGTGCACAAGGAGAAGGCCGCCAGGCAGGAGGACCCGCTGGAGGCGGCCTCACCCGAAAGGCGAGTGAAGGGCAAGAAAGCTGCATAATTGAGATGCAGACATGCTATGGCCCATTTTGACATGATTTCGGGAGTGAGCAAAAATCGCCTCGGCCTCGGGCCATGATCGGCGAGCATGTGTTGCAGAGCCTTGATCGCTTTTGCAAGAGATCGACAGAGCCTTTCATCGGTTGTGCAAAAGTTCGCAGCTCGGGTCGTGCCATACATGGGCAGGAGCTTGGAGTGTTGCATTGTGGCATGAAACATGCATTGCCAGCCCATGTCCTTGCTTTTTTTCTCGCAGCCTTTGTTTGCTTTGTGCTAGCTCGTTGTCATCAACCCAATCGCTTCAGATACTTGGATTCCAAGTATGGACTTCGAAGCTGCAGACGAAGATCATCAGCTTCACTTGTCCCAGAAGTGGGTTGTGAACCTTAAAGGCTGCAAAACCTGGGTCCCCAAGCAAAAGGAAGTGAACGACGGCACGTTTCTTGCTCTGTCCAAATGGGACAGACAATGCATCCTCGCCTTCACAGATAGGGCATTGGACCTGAGGGCAAACAAGGACGGTGGGAGCTTGAACTCGGAGGTTTGGGCCGAGCTCATTGCAGCTCGACAAGAGGTCGCCAATGATGCCATCGAGGAGGCTTTCAAGACGGAGGACCATGAGCAAGAGAAGGGGCACAAGAAAGCCAAGGTACTCAGAGCTTCGTCGAAACACGACTTTATGGCTCCTCCGATCCTCACCGTGCACTACAAGGGGCATGCCTTTCGTGTGCTGTACGAGGGTTTGGGAGGCAACACGTTGTGGGTCGAGGCTAAGGAGGACACCCTGCGACTGTTGAAGAAGTTCCTGTCTGAGTCCAAGCCGAAGCCCCGTTCCAAGCCCAAGGCCAAGGTTAAGAAGGCAGCGAAGTCCCCGAAGAAGCGACGACAGTTGCACAAGGCCGACAGCAAGTGAGCCGGACATCAGTGATATGTGTATATCAGCTGGGAGGCATGTTGCAATCTTGACAGTGCTGTCATGCCGAGGGTTCACAAAGGGGGTGCAAGTGCATGGTGCATGCAGTGAGCTTTCGAAGGGGGGGGGGAGGGAGGGAGGGATGGATGCATGGGGAAGAGAGAGAGAGAGAGATGTGTGTGTGCGTGTGTGTGTGTTTTGTGTGTTTCTGAGTTTCTGCATTGTATGCATGGCATGCATGGCACGAAAACCTCTGGTGTGCATGCAGCACTTTTGGCTGCGAATGCATGGTGCTTGGGCATGCACATGTTCATGAGCACGTGCATGCTGCAGGCAGAGGAGTGAAACATGCAGGCATTCACAGGCCACTTCAGGCACTTCGGTAGGATGGTCATCCTCAGTGCCTCGATGGCCGGGGACGACGAGGAGGAGATGGCCCTGTTCGTGGAGCTTGACCTCCTGGAGAGCTTCCATCCAATGAAGAGAGGAGCCTCGTATAGTTGTCACTTGGAACTTTTGGTTTTTGATGCACATGCAGGACGGTGGGGAAACACGTCCTCTCAGTTCCGCTGGACGAAAGCCTCCGGGTGGAGACTCGTCAGGTTGGAGGTGGGTTCTTTCAAATTTTGCAGCCTTTGATATGATCGCTCTATATATAACTTCCTGTTGCAGGATGGACAGGGCTTCTGGTGCCATCCAGACAAGGATGCACCTCAGCCCCCGGCTGAAGGCACCAATATCAACACTCCGTTTGAATGTTTTAAATTCATAAACCTGTGAGGCTGGCAGTTCTGGAAAGACGGGGACTGGAAGGAGTCCGGGCTTTCCTTGCTGCAGATCCTGCAGACGGATGACGAGGTGGAGGCCGGATTCTCTTCACATTGCATTGATGTAATTAGAAAAGAACCGTGCAGGATCTCGATGCAACGGCCGAGCCGACCAAGCCGAAAGAGAAGTGGGTGCTGAAGGATAAAGCACGAGTCTCAGACTTCAAGCGAGCACATTGCCCTGCTGAGCCTGTGTGCAACATGTGTTTAGGTGAAGACGAAGGCGATGCCCAAGAAGAAGGGTCAGCATGCTTCTTCTGCCATGAACTCGGTCACTCATTCATTGACTCATGNNATATATATGTGCAGACACTCAGGGCAGCAGGATGCAGCCAACGGAGCCGGCACACCCGCCACGACGTGGTGGCCAGGAGTGCAAGCAGCTTTCATTTTGTGCTAAGTTCAATCGTGTCCATGCAGGACAAGCCCATGATGGACCCGAAGCCCAAGACCAAGCAGCTCAAGGACCCATGGACACCACCGCCTCCCCCCCCCGCCCCCTTGCCACCCCCAGCGGAGCCCTTGCCACCCCCACCGAACCCCTTCCCACCCCCGGCACCTGAAGTCCCTCAGGTTATGCAGGGGAAGGCACCGTGGGCAGGCCAGAAAGGGCCGCTTAAGCGGCCCTTACCTGAGGAGATGCTGAAGCAAGACGGCAGTGGTCGAGGCCTGCTTGTCCTTGCATGAACGATGTTGCTGATGTTGCTTCGGCCAACATTGCAGGGAGCTACGTCCGTGGCTTCCTGGACAACGGGGGCCAGTATTGGGCCCCCGGGTCCGGCCGTGCGAGGGCGAGGACCCGGGGCCGAGGTGGTGCTGGGAAGCAGGCGGCTGTACCTTGTACAAACCCAGAATAACACCCATAAACCTGAACCTGGTCAGGGAGATGGTGGCCACACTCCCATGGACAACCGCTTGGTGGACGGCCTTCTGCAGTTGGCAGAAACGGTCAACATTCAGGTCCCGTCACAGTTTACATATAGCTTTTGTGCAATTCAAGAAGACCACGGAGGCCAGATCCAGCCAAGCAGCCATGGATCACTATGAGTGAGGCCTGGGATCCCCAATTGCGCCTTTTGTGTGCTCTGCTGCCTTTTCAGGCACAGGTGCCATGGAAGAGGCAAGTCGGTGGCTCAATTGAAGCTTCACCCTCGACTTTGAAGTCTTATCTCTGTCCCATAGGCAGCACCCACCGGAGCCCTTGACCGGAGCCGGGTCGGGGTCTCAGCTCACAACCCGGCTCCACATAGCAGCCCCCCACATCGCTCGACAGGCCTGGGATTGCTGTGTGGGCATTTTGCCTGCTGCCCAGCCACCGAGGATCCTGACGAGCCCCAAACCCTTAAGCCCTTAAACCCTGCCAAACACGAGCCCCTTCGAGGCCCGTGGATTCCTGATGGCTGTTCTCGCCACCTCTGCTGCTGCCTCAACATGATCCATCTTCTGCTACACTGCCTATATTTCCTGTCACTGCAGGTGGGAACAGCTGCAGATGAGATGGCTGAAGCGGGCAGCCTGCAAGGCTTTCGTGCTGGTTAAGGGAAAACCACAGGAATATAGATTGATATAGTTCGGGGTCCGGGGCCAAGCACCACTATATAGATTGATATGGTTCGGGGCCTCGGGGAAGGGCCCACCATATAGATTGATATGGTTCGGGGCCCGGGGCAAGGGCCCACCATATAGATTGATATAGTTCGGGGCCCGGGGCAAGGGACCACCATATAGATTGATATAGTTCGGGGCCCGGGGCAAGGGAGCACCATATAGATTGATATAGCTGTGGTTTTGGGGTTCTAATAGAAGAGTATAGAAGACTGGTCGTTGCAGGCTGCAGATACAGGCTTTCGGCCGTCAATGGCAGGGCCCAGGAGTGCTGATAGTCCCGAAAACCCAGACCTCAGAAGCCACCCAAAAAAAAAAAAATCCTGGGCCCAGCCTGAAATTGGAGAGCTGTGTGCCCCTGCAGGCAGGGTTCCGTGGACTCCCATGCACAAACTGAACCCACTATAAACCCCGAACCCGGACCCTAAAACCCCATAGAAAACCCAAACTATAAACACCAAACCCTGAAACCCAGACCCTGACCCTAAACCCTAGATATCCCTCGAAACCCCAAACACTAAACCCCAAACCCTAACACCCTGAAACCCACTATAAACCCCAAACCCGGACCCTAACACCCCATAGAAAACCCTAACTATAAACCCCAAACCCTGAAACCCAGACCCGGACATATAACCCTAGATATCCCTCGAAACCCCAAACCCTAAACCCCAAACCCTAAAACCCTGAACCCCGGAACCCTAAAATAGGCCTTAACTTATGATCCTGTTAAGCCTGTGAAGCCTTGAAGCCCTCAGCCTGCCTGCCTGGGGCTCCTATTTCTTGTGGGTCGTGCATAGCTCCATAATATGTTTGGTTGTGCCCTGAAACCTGCTGTTCTATATATGCTTCTATAGATATTATATACAGCCTATGTTTGGTCTTTTGGTATACATATATGTATATGAACGGGGCTGCCTTTATATATACATAGGCATATACGACATTTATACCTGGTGTTGGCTTGCAAGCACGACTCCACATAGAGCAGCTTCATCCCTTTGGAGAGGATGCTGCACCCGGCTAAAAGCTTCAGTTATATCGTGGCAATATCATGATGCATGCTCTCTAACCATGCAGTGTATATACATATACTTAAGTGTATACGGCCTGGGTGCAGCCCAGAATGGCACTGCTGCCCGGGGCAGGCACATGCAGCTGGCCCGCACAAAAAAGTTGAGGAGACTCGTGTGTGTGTGTGTGTNNGTGTGTCTGTGTGTCTGTGTGTGTGCAGAGAGACAAAGAGAGAGGATATACACCGACAGAGGAGAGGAAACAGAAAGATAAAAAGAAAGAAGCACGTGCAGGAATTGCTGGATGATGGGGTTGCAATTGATGGTTCCTGGCTGGTGCACTGAAATGGTGCTGCATGCATGATATTTAGTGCTGTTCGTGCTGCTTTCGGTCTGCCCAGCAGCAGCGACCATCATTTGTGCTGGAGAATGCATATCTGTGTTAGACAATGCATCTGTGCACCATCGGCTGTCTCGCCTTGCAGGGCACATGTTGCTCGCAAGCAGGTGTTGGTGCAGCCGGCTTTTTCTCGAGTGTTGTGTCTTTCTGCCTCCCAGCTTCAGCTTGCCCGTCATGGTCGATGCTCTTCTCGCACACATGAAAAGCATCGGGGAGTTCTTGCAGCACACCAACAACATGGCCCCTGATGTGAAAGAGAGGATCGCACAGAACCAGCTCGACCAGCTCTTGCACAGGCTAAGTCTCATCAATGTTTTGACTACAGAGCAGGCGACAACTTTGTCCGGCCACTTTGAAGGCAGCTGCTTCAGCGACAGCCATCGGGCGACATGGGTTGAAGCAGTCTCATCGAAGATCGCTGCCGGCAACCGAAGCTCTGGCAGGAAGCCGAACCAGGTGTTGCTCCATTTCGGTGCCTACCTCACCCCCAGCGAAGTCCAGTTGCTGCAAGGCGACGGCAACGTGGCTGTCAAGCTGGAAGCCCTCGTGAGCCGGTGCATCATGATCGGATTGACAAACCCGACCGAACAGACGATCGGCCACGTGATTACTTCAGGAAAGCAGCATGGGATCGTCTGTTCACAGACGGAATCCTTCGACCTGGTTCAAGAGTTCAAAAGGCTCTTGAAAAATAAGAGGAAAAGTGCACCTTCGTTCACCCTGCACTTGCAGCACTACCCCGCCGACCCCATGCATCTGCCCACGGAAATCTTGAACTCCGCATACACCGCCGAGCAGCCCATGCCGCTGCAGCAAGTCGTGCTTGCACATGGGAGTGCCCAGTCGCAAGTCGTGCTCCGCCGAAGCAGCAAAGTGGTGAGAGACACTTTGCCGGCGAGGCAGGCATCGCAATCTGCCAACATGTTCGGTACCCCGGATGCTGCAAGGACCATGTTCGGCATGATGCAAATGTTGATGGGGAATGCAGGCATGCAGCAGGGCAGTGGCCAGAGCTCGGGTTTGCAAAATTTGCACATCTTTGGTACGAGGTCGAGTGGTTCGCAGGCCAGCCAGCAGCAACCGAATGCATCGTCAAGTGCAGGATTGCATGAACAACAGGCTCTCCAGTTGCCTGCCTCGACAAGTGCCGGCACGGGTCAGCAGGCGGCTCTGACGAGTGGCCTGCCGTCGTCGTCGATTGGGTTGCCGAACACTAGCCAGCCAGCAGGGAATCCGGCCAGCAACACATTTCAGACGGAGTTGCCCATGGATGAGCCACTCGCCAATGACCTCATGGGGGAGGTGGACAAGTCCACCAATATCGTGACGGAGGCTTTGGACACGAAGAAGAAGCCAAGTGAGGCCAAGCCCAAAGGGAAGGCCAAGGCCAAGGCCAAGGCCCAGATTAAGCCCAAAGCAAAGGCAAAAGCCGTTGCAAAGGCTGCCACAAAGGCTAAGGCCAAGGCCACGGCCAAAGCAAAGAGTGCGGCGAAGCCGGATCGCGAGCACTATCGCTCTATGAGCAATTCGCAGAGGCTTCGTCTCCGCCCCACGGGGTGCACGAAATGCAGGTGGAAGCCTGGCTGCACACCCTCGTGCTTCGCCTGAGAAGCCTATATCCTGCCCAGCAAGCCGGAGTTATAAGGTGAGTGTTTTGTGTCAAGTCCAGAGTTGCTGATATTTGGCGCTTTCAGCTGTCGATGCATGAGAACATGATCCATCTTCGGCAGAAGTTTCATGGGCAGCTTTTCTGTACTTTATGTCAGTACAATATGCAGAACGATACAGGTGATGTTGCCGTGGTGACAGGGAGTCGCTCTCGCAACTGTGCTCCAAAATTTGTGTGCATCCAGCTGGCATCCAGTATATTCATGGATTGTCTGTGTAGGCTTGCAACATATAGATCTTGTTGCACCACTCACTGATGTCAGCTTGGTTTGCTTCATAATGCTCATGCCTGTTTGTATGTTTGTATTCTGCATGCAGGTCGCCAAAGCCTATGTCAGCCAGGCCACCATGCACTGCATGGTTCAACCTCGTTTGAGATTGAAGTGGATGCATATTATAACCGCCTGGTTGCGAAGTCGCTGTGCAGGATCAAGCAAAGCAAGCAACTTCCGATCTTTATCGTTGTCTGCAGTACAACTCGCATGCTTGGTTTGTTTGCTGTCCTGCATGCATGCATGCATGCACACATATAGTGTGGGTTGCTGTCATGCTGCATACAGTATATAGTGAAGCTACACAGTGCATCCAGGAAGTTTCGGTCGAGTCTTTCTGCTTGGATGTGTCAGTGCTGTTGATTCCAAAGTGCTCGCTTTTGCAGGGCTCTTATAGCTCGCAAAGCAGGGACAATCATGTCTGATCTTGCCAGACTGGGACGACGATCCTACGTCAGTCTCAATGGCCTTGAGAATGTGTTGAAAGACTTGAAAGCACTGGAAAGATTGCCTGATGCATCTTCACGGGCAAGCATCAAGCGAGCCCGAGATGCCGACTGCAAGGTGAATACGGCCCTGGGCCCAACCTTTTCTTCCTTGAGGATCCAGGTCAATGAGCTGGACCGTCGCAAGGGAACAAGAAGTGTTCGAGAGCACGAGCTGCCTTTCATATCCTTGCCGGCTGTTCTCTCTCATGCCATTGCGACATCCGATGGCTTCAGAGACTTCTTCTTGGACAGGCTCAGGGCATGCCCGAATGGGCCCACGAGCCCATGGAAGATTATTCTCTATGCAGATGAGATTACACCTGGCAATGCCCTGAAGCCACTCAACAGTCGCAAAGTGCACGGCTTCTATGTCAGCTTTGCCGAGTTCGGGGCCGAACTATCATCCGAGACTCTTTGGTTCACTGTCTTGGCAGCCAGAAGTGAACTGGTCAACAAGATGGAGGGTGGCTTCTCAGAGCTTTTCAAACTCTTCCTGATAAGATTGTTTGAAGGGCCTTTCAACTTGAAGACAGGATGCATGCTGGATTTTGGCAATGGGCAGCAACATTTGTTCTTTGCATCGCCCACAATCTTTGTGGCAGATGAATCCTGCATAAAATTTGCATGGGACCTCAAGGGGGCATCGGGGTCGGTGTGCTGCATGTTTTGCAGCAACATCGTTTCCCAGAACAACAGGCTTGATGTTCATGATGCCACGAACACCTTGGTCACCATCGCCGAAGTCGACGACTCGAAGTGGCGAGCACGTGGCGACCAGCTCCTGTGGGCCTCGCATGATCGTTTGGAGACCATTGCTGGGAGTGGCACCAAGGCCGAGCTGCAAAGGGTCCAGCAAGCTATGGGACTGAATCACAACCCTAAGGGTCTGCTAAGATCCCGGTTGCTTGCACCGTCGTCTGTCACGATGTATGACTGGATGCATTGCTATTTAGTCCATGGCCTTCTTCAATTGGAGCTGGGACTCCTCATTCCGATGTTTTATGGTGCTGGGCACACCGTGGCAACAATCCTATCCTTCTTTAACTCTTTCGAATGGCCACATGGACTCCGAGCCCATAGAAGGGAGGTGTTGCAGATTTTCGAGAAAAAGGTTTCACTGGGCGAGTTTAAGTGCTCGGCTTCCCAGGGCTTGAGTATCTACCCTCTGGTGCGGATCTTTGTGCTCGTCCATGCCGTCTCGCTTGCTGAAGCCACGGTCAGACAGGCTTGCAACAGCTTCCTCACACTGTGCTTGGTACTGGACCTTCTCCTGGAAGGCAATAAAGGCAAGCCCATCGGAGCACCGGAGCTCAGAACCCGCATCAGAGCCCATTCACAAGCATTTCTAAAGGTGCACGGGGAGGAGGCCGTCATTCCCAAGTTTCACTATGCACTTCATCTACCATCCCACTTGCATAGACATGGAAGGCTCATCTCCTGCTTCTGCCACGAAAGGAAGCACAAACAAATCAAAGCCGTGGCAGACAACCTGCACAAGGTGACGACCACTTTTGAACACACCGTCATGGCCGATGTCGTGGGCAAATCTTTTTTGAACTTGGAAGGCTACAAACTGTGGACCAAGCCTTCGCTCATGAAGGCGAAACCAGCCTCGGACCAACTTGCTGTAGAACTGGCTACTGCTTTCGGTGTTGCAGAGGCCTTGGGTTCCATGGTAGGGCTTGTGGCTGAATTCCAGCCTGGCCAGACATGCGAGCGAGGAGACACAGTTCTCGTTGAGACGATAGTCGCCGAAGTGTGGCTCCATGTGCAATTGGCCAACGGTGAGGTGCACTCACTGGTCTCTGTGTGGCAGTCTCTCGGCCAGAACAGGTTCCAAGTTCGGGAGCAGCCGTGCTGGATCGCGACAAACACGATCAACAAGGCCGTGCTGCACCGAAGGTGCGATGGACAGGCAATCATCGTGCCATGATCGGGCCCTGCAGGCGAGCAAAAATGCCCTGCCATGCGAGCTGACAACCTTAAATTTTCCATCATAGCAAGTTCATGCCAGAGACTTTGAATGACCCTCACAAGCACAATATCTTGTTGCACAAACTTCTTGCTATATATTTTTCGAGAATATAGACCCGTGAACCCGGTCTTGCCGAGCCTTTCTTTAGCAATATGCCCCGGCCCAGAATGCAAGTTAGCACACTTATACAACTTAAGGTACATCTGCTAAGTTCGCATACTATGTGTTTTAATTCTGTATTGCTAAAACAACTTAGTCTAAATATATGTCTACTTAGATAAGTATTGCAACAACCATATTTACTTAGCAAGTTATACATATAGTTAACAACCCACCGCCCTTCCAAG